CCCGGTTTCCCCGTACCCCCTTTGCCCCCCGTGTTTTCACCCCTCCTCATCCCCTCTCCAGCCTCTCTCCCCTCCAAATCTTCCTGTGCTTTGCAACCTTTTGGGGGTGACGGGGGGCGATGGGTGCCAAACACCCTCATAAACGTCACCAGGAGTTTAAAACGCGCTGTTAATTGTAAAGCTTATATATCATATATTTTATAGACTAATTCTATCTTATAAAACTTTCCAATATAACAGCCGTGGGATTTCTCCAACCGGCTTTACGTTGTGGTCGGCGACCACTTTGCATCCCCGACGAACAAAAGCAAATGTTTGACTGCTCAAAGAAGGAAAAGGTCTTCCCGTTCCTGCGCGAGCGGCTTCCTACCGCTGCAAACAGGACGTTTCGGTTGAGTGCCCCTTCGCTCGCAAAGCAAACACGGCTCCCGGTGGGCTGGCGAAACCTTCTCCACCAAAAGAGCCTTTTCTCCCGTGAATAAGCTGTTGGTATGTAATTAAACAGCAAACAGAGATTCGCACCTTCCCACAGTCCAGGTTTGTAATATCCACCAGAGAGGGGTGATTTTAACTTACTCCTCCAGTGTTGTGTTATTGCCAAGTGTGGGCAAAAAAACCCAACCAACAACTGTGTTGCTGCCTGCCAGGAGAGCTGGTTTTCCCTTGGGATGCACTAATGGAGAGGGAAAATCCCCTTGGAAAGCTGAGCGTGTCCCTCCGGTTTGCTTAAAGGATGGCCCTAAATGGCGATCTGGGGATGCAGCCTCCCGAATCGGTGGAGGAGGAGCGCTGAGCTGGAGGAACTGCTCCCAGGTAAAGCTGTGGTTCCCCCAAAACTGGGAGAAATTCGGGTTGGAATTGCACAGCTGAGCGTTGTGGAGGGAGGATGCTCAGCTCTTACGCCCCTTTGGGAAACCTGAGGGACTAAAAATCTTTAATCCCCAATACCCGGTCACTTGTTAAAGTGAGACCGAGGTTTTTAACGCCAGGATGGATGAAGGAGGAGATATATTTCAACCAGGGCCTCGGCATTTCCAGCAGCTCTGGGACTGCTGGGGTTACTGCAGAGGGGTCCAGGCCAGTGGCCGAGCATTCTTCCCGCATCCGGATCCTCCTGGACCACTCGATGGCAGCATTGCCTAAAAATGCTAGTGGAGGAATGGGCGAGCAGCTTGCTGGGGCTGGGGAGGGCTCCCCCGTGACGGCATTTCTAATTCCCACCCCCAACCCCCCTCCTCAGGCTGTTTTGGGGTGTCGCTATAAATTTCTTCCCCAAAGAAGGGGACACCCTGGCAAGGTGGGGGACAACATTAGCATCCATCTCAGCCCACCCCAGCAAACCCTTTACCCGCTCCCTCCATCCCCAAATTGCTCCGAGCTGACAGTATCCCCACCAAGAACCACCACAGGGCTGAGCGACAGCACACCTCTGCCTCAGTTTCCCCCTTAGGAAAAAAGGGGCAATGCCTTTGTATACTCCTGTTGAAAAGAAATGGCTATTTTTATTTTTTCCCCCTGCGTTGCTGCCGTGCAAGGAATAGAAATGCAGCCTGACGTGTCGACCGAAGCAGGCTCTGCGAGGGGCATGTGTGTATCGGTGCGTTCAGGCTGTGGAGCGCTGGGTAGTCCTGAGAGGGAGGAATTTCACCCAAAGGATGCATTTTCTTTCTTTCGGAAGAGATTGCATTAAAAATAAAATTTAAAAAAAAAATAAAAATCAATCCTAGGATGGAAACCTGCATGAGGAAGAACAGATGTATTTATGGCTCGGCAAAACCAAACAGATTATGGCAAGCTTTTGACAACTAATTAACGCTTGCGGGTCCCCGTGAAGATGCCAGGGCCACTCCGGGCGTGAATGCACTGAATCCAAGAGGCCCCCTCCTTCTTTTCCCCCGGGAACGCTCGTTAGACCTTCACGTATATCGTCAGCCCTTTGGGAGCACAGAGAAAGGCTTTGTAACTGGCGGCTGGAGAAAACCTTGCCTTTTCCTGTTGTGTTTTTCAGAAGGACAGGAACCTCTTACGCTATAGGTTTCCCAGCAGAGTCCCCGGGGCCGGCGTGACATCGAGCGCATACAAAGCGTGGTTGTCTGGGAGGAAAAATTGCCCTCATCCTTCAGGGAACCATCAGAGATGGTGTTTTTTCCAGTTTCTGAGGTTTCGGCTGCTCCATTCACCCCGACCAGGCGGTTTGGACCCCATCTCCCCATCGCACAAAGCCGGGCGCAAGCAACACCAGGAGCAAGTTGAAGTTTTGCCGCCTCCCCAAAACGCGGCGGCAGGTCCTAAACAACAAACATCCCTCACAAGCTGCCGGCAGAGGTGTTTGCCTGGCTTCTTCCTTGGGTAAAATAAGCGCAGGTGCATCAAGCTGTGCTTTAAATTTGGGGTGTGACACCAGTGGGGGGTCGGCAGCTTGCACCCAGCAAGGCGATGACATCTTTTGCTAGAACAGCTGGATCCAGAAGGCAACATCTGCCCCAGTGTATCCCTCAAGCAGAGCAGGGAAACAGCTTGTCCTCGTGCAGAAGAGACAGTAAGGAGCCGCACGAGCCATTTTCCGCGGCACCGAGCGGCGCTTGGATGCTTAGCTGTCCGTCAGCAGAAATAACTCACTTTGCCAAGCTGCTCCTCATGATTAATTTGGAAATCGTATCATCTAAAAGCCCCAGAAACAAACTATCTCCTGCAAGACGGGTTGCACAAGCATGCGTAGGAGTTCCAGTTTCTCCAAACTCCATTCCTTCCCCTCGGCTTTAAATCGGGCGCAGCTGAGCTCTGCTTTGGGGTGGGGGGGTGGCATTTCACAGGGCGTTGGTGTTTTGCAGGTTGGGGTGATTTGTTAATTAGTGAGTGTTCTTCCCTCACCCAGGTAGCTTTGTGTAGTAGCTCCCTGTGCTTTGGAGAAGCTGAAAAACAGGGTGGATGGAGGTTGTGCGGCTCTGAACTGTGGTGTCTTTGCTAAACGTAAGTTTGCTTTGTGTTTTTTAGCAGAAGTGGGTGAAGTCTTCTTATTTGGAGCAGTCCGAGATGGGATTGATTTCCCCGGGGAGGCAGCCTGTGTTGTGCAAGGGGCGCTGGGTTTCCAAGATCCTCTGTTTGGGGCAGTGCTGTGGTCCTATGAAATTTTTACAAAACCCTTTAGAGCAGGTTTGGGGTTGGTTTTTTTTAATTTCCTGACCTTGTAGAAGGAGCGTTTTAAATGGTTTCCTTAGAAATGAGGTTTTTGAGGATGTTTTGCTTGATTGTGTGTTCTGTAGGTCACCTCCTGCCCCAGCAAGAGCTGTGTTATATGGTGGCTGTCAGTGATGTGACCCTTAAGCTGGTGACTAAGGGAGTGCTGTGTGTTTGCTGTGTGCTGGTGTGGACTTTTGTAGTTTCCGAGACCGAGGGAGCTCTTAAGTATGGATTTAAGCCTATGCATGAGCTAAAAAACACATAAAACTGTTGCATTGCAGCATCCCTATAGCAATAGGGTCCTTGTGCCACTGCAGCAGCTCTGGGCTGTAGAAGCAAGAGAAGAGGGAGGAGAAACTGGAGGGGTTTCTTGCAGCTCTGCATCCCTGCGGACCCCTGAGGCTTTAGGTGGTGATGGGCAAAAGCCCCATGAATAGTGCCAGAGATTGGAATAACCACCAAAATCACTGCCTTAATAGATGTAGTGATGGGGGAATGGCCAACAGAGAGAGTTGTGAATTTGGGGAGATGTGGTTTGCTAAGAAAATGAACTGAGGAGGC